GAGGGAAAAGTGTTTTTATAAACATATATATATATATATATATATATATATATATATATATATATATGATCGCTCACTGGCCATGAGCCCCTGAGAACAGTATCCACGTGTTTTCATTCCCCCTTTGCCCTCCTGTGCCTACTCAGTCCCTAGCATGTGGTAGGTCACAGCCTTCACAGAAGGTATGGAGAGATCAATGCCTCCAGCCTTTCGGCTGTATCAAGGAGCTGGCAGTTCCCCAAATACACTGTGTCATTCTCTCTTCCAGGGTCCCCATTTTGCCTAACTCATTGGTTCTCTACCAAGGACTATTTTACCTCTAAGGCACAGCTACTGTCTACAGGCATTTTTGATTGGCATGAGAGGGAATGCCCCTGGCCACTAGTGGGCAGAAGTTTGTTGTTCCACAAAGAACCATTTGGCCCACAATCAGCTAGTGCTGCTGTTGAGAAACCCGGCTGTTTAGTATTCTGTCTAGCTTATTCTATCTATGAGCGACTTCTGATCAGACAATTTGTCTTAGTGGCCCTCTTCTGGGATGAGGGACCTCATTGATGTTATCAGTCTCTTGCCTTGCAATTGTTTTTGTCATGAAAGTCATGGAGTTTACGTACAGGTTGAGCATCCCTAATCCTTAAATCCCAGATCCAAACACTAAAGTACTCCAAAATCTGAAACTTTCTGAGCACCGACGTGACATCACAAGTAGAAAATGTTATACCTGACTTCATGTTGTAGACCAATGATAATGCAGGTACAGGGAAGAGACCGAATAGAATTACCCTATGCATAAGGTGCTTATGAGACAGGTGAATTACATGTTGACACTTGGGTCCCATTCCTAAGATATTTTATTACATATATGCAAATATCTCAATTTCTGAAAAATTCTAAAATACTCAGGCCCCTGCATAGGCTCTATCAGCCGCAAACTGATGGACCCTGACTGATGTCTTTGCTTGAATGCCCCCTGCTCTGGTTGGAAGGTATAGATCGATTCCACGGCAACATCTGACATGTGTTTGAACTCACAGGTCAGAAGGACTTCCCAGCCCAGTATCTCTTTTCCACATCTGCTTGGCTCCCCACATCTGTGTTAGTTGGTAAACTACACAAATGTCCACAGGTATGGGTCCAGCTTTTAGCATGGTTCACTCAGTTAGACATTGCTTTACATATTGACTTAAGTTTAATCCCAGTAACATAATGACATTGAATCGGGGCATATGACAGCTTCTTCACAATGAAAAAAATAGGGCCGAAGCTTCATTTGCAGTTGGCTCTCCTGTGAGTCACGTGTACTTGAACAGCAAGTGTAGACCTGATGCTGTTCCTTCAGCAAAAATAGAAATCCTTGTGACCACACGCTAGCATGTTTCCTGTTGTGTCCACCATCAGAAACTCTTGTAGCTCTCTTCTTTGGATTCGGGTTTTAAAACCGACTCTGGTAGAAATGTGACCCCAGGAAGGCCTCCTTTTTGTTCCCACCTTGTTGCTCCATAAGGATGTTTCATTCCCCCACCAGGGCCCTTGCCCTGGTGGCTCTGGTCCTGCTGACTGGAAAAGGAGCGGTGACCCAAGGATGCCGGAAGGAGGGTAAACAGCTCACCTCCACTTACTGCTGTGGCTGCTGCGGCTGTTGCTGCTGTTGCTGGGGAAGCACCTTACCATCGGGCCTGGAACATTCACTACTGTCCGAATGTTTCTGCTCCTCTTCCAAAGGTTGTTGGTCTTGCGTTTGGTCCTGGGCCCGCCTCCTCTCCAGCATCTCCTCAAAGAATATTTGGCAGCTGAAGCCTTCTCGAATGCCGTGCTGGGCGTGGTCCAACAGCGCCTCCAGCGTGGGGAAGACTCGGCAGCAGGCCACGCAGCGCAGGCCATGGTTGGTGGTGACCAGCCAGTCCGGAGGTGCGCGCAGCTCCTGCAGACAGCACTCCACTGAATCCTCCGGCTGTGGAGTGTAGTGCTTGCAGGCTTCCAGCTCCCAGTGCAGGTCGGTGTTGGAGGCTATCTCGAAGGAGGAGCCTTTCCGCCTCTGTCTCTTGATGAATTCAGCCTCCCGGATGCGGGGCTTCCTTGCGACTGGCTCAAAGCCATCATCGGTTTCCCAAGCCACTGCCACACCGCGCACCGTCTGCACGTGCGTGTACAAGGCACACACACTCTCTGGGGCAGCCTCTTGGTCCTCACACCCACCAGAGCAGCAGGACTGGTACTGGGAGTAGGACTGGTACTCAGAGGATGACTGGGATGACAGAGACCTGCTCCAGTCCAGCACTCCATGTGCCCGGGCTGCCACATAGATACTGTCGTGCTGGAGGAGAAGGGCAGGCCCCGGAGATGACTCGTCCCTCTTCATGGTCCCTGAGAAGTGGAAGGACAGTTTCGTCAATGCTCCTGGAAGCTTCCATACATAACTTATCAAGGGGAGCTGCAGACAGAGTTGTGCAGGCTCTTGGGGCTCTTGGGGAGATGCTTGCTATTTCCTTACAGAAGGAGGTGACTATAATACTGCCTCAAGAGGAGATGAAAAGGACCAAATACATCAATGGCATCAAATCAGACATCAAAGGCCATCACTTAGTGGACTGCAAACTGTTCTGCAGCCATAGAATGCAATTGCAGTAGTGGATAAAGCAAACTTCAGATGTGTGCAGCACTGAGAAAATCTTAATGCATTTGCTAAATAAAAGAAACCACCCTGTGAAGTGTCCTTCCGCTTAGAGGACAACCCAGAAAAGGCAAATCTGTAGTGACAGAACAGTATGCCAAGAGCATACAGGAATGCCAGGCAACTCTTAGGGGGTATAATCATACCCTTTATTTTGGCTGTGCATGTCACCCAAATGTACAGGCATCATAATTTTCCTGCCATGGTAGATGCAGTGCGTTCGGACACTGGCTTGATAAACCACCTGAAAGGCAAGCCTGGGGATGTGCTTCCACTGAGTGAGGGAGGCCCAGTTCCCCTTCTCCGCCTCTGACTAGTCTCTAACTTACCCAGGGAGCACTCTTGCCCACTCTGCAGGCACCAATCTTTCCCCTGGCATACCATTTTTTATTCCTTTGAGATTCAAAACAAGCCTAAGAACTTTTGCTATTATAATTTCCATTCCACAGATAAAGAAACTGAGACACAGAGGTTTTGTATGCCTGGTGGAACCACTTGGCCCCAAGAGCAGACATCCTAAGGGCACCCCAGACAAATCCTGGTGTCCTTCGAATTGGCATTCTAGACTAGCTTGCTTGATGTACTATAAAGGGATGTTTATATTACAAACAGGGCTCACAGGATTGACATACTGGGATTTTTTCACACATACTTTAAGATCAATATATAAAAGGAAAGTTACATTTTCATCTATGTATCTTCTGTAATCGTCCCACAGATGCACAATGGCTTAAGAAGTACCAGTTTCCCATAAAGACCACTTTCCTTACCACCCTTCCCCCAACATACTCCTTTGAGAACAGCATCAGGGACCAACCTGCCCCTTCCCCATCTATTGACCACCTGACCAGCACACTCCCATGGTCTCCTCTGTGGACTCAGGGCCGGCCACGCTGAGGGTAGCTTTACTGATCAGTGACTGTTCTCCCCTGTGGTCCATGAAGTGATGTTTCATGACTTCAAACCAGTGGCCAGAATCTCAGTGAGAGCTGGTGTGGGCTGTGATGAAGCCCTCCAGCTGACCCTGGCCCTAGTGGCCCCGTGGTCACTAGGATCTTGGCTTTATTCTGTGATGTCATCAGTGACATGGGTCTGTTCTGTGACCCTTGGCAAGGCTAAGATCCTGCCAAGGTGCCAGGAGAGGGTTCCCAGTAAGAGCTCATTTTCCTCTGTGACGTTTTCTGCCTTCTGTATTATCAGGGACACAAACACACAGACACATGCTCTTAGAGGTGTGTACACATAAAGATACACATAAATGTACTCATAGGCACAATACACATATAAATGTGCATGCACACACATGATCACTCCTGTGCACATGCTAGAACATACACAAGCATGCAATACACTAACAGCATTTGCACACAGTATTCACAGTGACACACATTAGCATATGAGGCAAATATATGCGTGCAATTTCACACCAGATGTACTGAATCACAAATATGCTTACAAACACACAGCTATCACCTAATATCAAAATAGTCCCGTTTCACACCATGAAAACAGGTGATCAGAATGCTTGCCTCCAAAGTTCCCATCAGCTGAGCCCCTTTTGGGTGCCTCAGTGCTTTGTGCCAGTCTGTCTCTTTCTGTACACCGTGCCCAGTTCCTATAGCTCCACTCTCTTGACCACCCAGAAACACCAGGAGTCTCCTCTCCTCGACTCAGGGATCTTGAGCTTATTCTTCTTGTCTGTCCCAGGTCCTAGGGTCTTTGTTTTTCTTGGTGATTTAGACACACTCAGATGTATACAATTACCTTTTCTGATTGTTTTTGAGATAGGGTCTTCCTGTGTAGCTGAGGATGACCTTGAGCTAGCCCAGGCTGATCTCAAATTATCCATCCTCTTTCTTCATTCTCCTGAGTCGTCCAGTCTCCCTTTCAGGTGCAAGCTCTAGAAAGTAGGATTGCCCTTCATCTTTCTCATCATACTCCTTATACGTAAGCAATGCCTGACACATGAACAAGTACTGTAGAAATGATTGCCAAATTAGTGAGTCAATAACTAGGAGCACACTGGGCTGGCAAGACATGACCTACCTGGGGGAGCTGCCTGCCCTCTCCAGCCCAGATCCGTGCAGTTCTCAGATGTGCTGGCTCTTCTCACACTAAGACTGTAAGAATCACCCCTCCTCCTCCACTTACACAAACCATGAGCTGGTACCATCAGCCTGGCAGAAGTCCTACCTGTCACCTCTCTCTGTTCCAGCCCATTCTAACATGTACATACACTTTCTGTAGCATACTCACCAGTTCCTCTGGAGCTAAGGGCTTCTCATGCCCCACTCAGTCTCACCAATCCTTTAAATTACAAGTTCTAAATGGTTTTAAATGGTAATGGGTTGATGAGAACTCCAACATTCCCAAAGCAAGTTTGACATCACACACTCATCCAGCCTCTTCCTGGCAGTACTCCTCCCAGAAGGAAAGCCACAACACAAAGACTTACATCATGGAGCTCCACTGAGTCATGAGGACTCACACCTGCAGCAATGGAGCTGCTGTTCACAGTCAGAAGAGGAAATCGTATATGTGTCTTTATGAAAAAAGGGGTATGGGCACAAAAATAGTCAATGGCAGATAAAATTAAGCTAGAAATTGACATTATATATTAGATTTTTTTGAGACAGGCTCTCACTGTGTAATTCTGGCTAGTCTGCAGCTTGTGTAGATCAAGCTGGCCTTGAACTCACAGAGATCTGCCTGCCTCTGCCTCCCAAGTGCTGGGATTAAACATGAGAGCTACCACACCTAGTTATGTGTTAGGATTTTTAAGGGATAATGCAAATAACAAAGGTCTAGGGGATAGAACACTCAGTCAGTAAACGATGCTGAAAGTTTTTCTTTCTACTATAATAGATAAACTTTGGTCTCATTTCATGTGAACAACTAGAATGACTCAGAGGTTCTGTTTCAACTAAAAATGTGTACAAAGAAAAAGAAGTTATCAGGTACATTTTTAGTGTGACTTTCCTTAAATAATAACAATTTTCACTAATTGTGAGTCTTTTTATTTAAATTATTTAAAATTTGCAGAGGGGCTGTGCGTTTGGAAGTCAGATGAAACTTTCAGGAGTCAGCTGTTTCCTTCCACGATGTGGGTCCTGGGGATTGAACGCGGGTCGTCAGGGCTAGATGGTAGGTATGCTTACCAGGTGAGCCACTTCACCAGTCCCCATTGAAGGTCTTTGTCATCACATTCGTGCTTAAAAACGATGTGCCGCCATGCCCTCACTCTATCCATCACAGGCAGCACAGTACAGAGGAGCAATGCTTCCTACCTGCTTAGCGCTAGGTTAGACAGGGTGGTCTCTCTCTGTCCTCCTCACTCTTCTTCCTATCATCCAGCATGCTGTGAGGAAGCTCAGACCACATGGAAAGCCACACAGAAGTTTTCCAGGCAGCAGCCTCTGTGGGTCTCAGTCAATCACCCTGTGTGAGAGCCAGGTTGTCTTCAGATGAACCTACTCCTCAGCCATGGAATCTTCCAGCTGGAGTCCTGGACATCCTCTCCCTGCCCCACTGGAATCCCCCAACATCAGAAACCAGACATGGTTTAAAACGTTGTGCACTGTATTTGGGGGCAATTTGTTATTCAGCCATGGTAATTCAATGGGTGTGATTTTCCCCAGTGTTTGAATGTCTATATGACACTAATCACTGGCCTCTGTGTACCCTGCTGCCACCCTGGCCCAGTTGGGTAACTTTCAGACCCTTCTAGCACTGTGGCTTTCCAGGACAGACTGGGAGGACACTCCCGCCACTCCAGCAGTATGTCTGTTTGCTTAGTCTTGGCATTCCTGTTAAGAGCTTCAGTAACATTAGCTCAAATCCCATGGGAAACTACTCTACCAACCAGATCACATGATAACCAACACTTGGTTTTGTTTTTAGCTTTACACTTTCTGGTCTGAACAATGCCTTCCAAACACTTTCTGATCAGCTCCTTCCCTGTCCACAAATCTCTATAGGACCTTTAAAATCCTGTCCCTGGTCCCAGCAGGTAGGTACTGTTTGCATTTCTTTTACATAGGGGGGTTGAGGAACAGGTCAGGTACAAGCTCAATCCCACTAAGCCTGCCCCCCAAGCTGTTCTCTCAGGCTGCCCCAATATGATTCCTTAGGGTGCTCCCCAGAAGGTGGCTTAGAATTAAACCCTACTGGTAGCATGCAATTGTCCTTCACTCTCACATGGCCTCTGGACTGCCTCTGTTCGTGGGATGGCCTGTCTCTGTCCCTCCATGTACTCCATGCAGACAGACACGGATTGGAGAACACTCACATGGCTTCCACCCAACCCTCTCCACCCCCACCCCAGTCCTGCAGTTTTCCAGCTGGTTCTTTGGTCTTGCCAGGAACTTCCTTGCTTCACTGAAGCAGCCAGCAGAGGTGGTGTGCAAAACCCCAAAAAGCCCAGCACAGCATTTACTTGGATCTCTGGTCGCCTCCTGTCCAGTGCACACATTGCATGTGAGTCCTAAGCCTCATCCAGAAAGCCTGCAGTGTTTTCCAAAGCCCCTTTCTTCCAAACCGGCTCCTCCCAGGCTCAGATCTTTCCAGCTGAGAAAGCCAACAGGAAACAAAACAGCCACAGCCATACAGGAAGCTGAGAGGAGAGGCCACACTCAGCTCTCCTGGGCTTCTAATTCCAGTGACCAACTGCTTGTACTATGAGAATGGGTCATCCATCCCACAGTACCAAGAGTCCAGAAATAGCCTGTTCGTGTGGCTGAGAGCTGCACTGCCTACCTATGCTAGGCAGTGGTTGTGGGATGTCAGTGCCCAAACCACAGTATAAAGATGTTTCATGGTGGGGGGGGGCTTCTCTTCCTACTAAAAGTGGCACCCCTCCATCAGTCACAACTTCCCAGCCTGCTCCCCAAAGTGCTGCTTTGATCAGACTTACATGCAATGGGAGGGAGGGAGGGAAGGGGTAGTTTTCTCAGGAGGTGGGCCAGATTAGGGTAGGAGGGTTGGTCTTTCAAGGAAGAGGCAAAGGATGATCTCATCCATGTGCCATGTCAGCAGAGAAAGTGTCAGGGCAATCAGACAAGTTGAGGGTTGAGCAAAGAAGTGTCATCACTGGGGCTCTTGGTCTGTGGCTTCTCCACCCTGTGTTATAAGAATGAGTTAGCAGGCTTCATCAGGCTTGGCCATGTCTAGCCAGGAGTCATCTTCCCTCCTCAGCTGTGGCTCAGTGAGACTGTGCTGTTGAATGAATCTGCTGGATGCAGAAGAGTCTCCTTCCAACAACCCATGCTTCTCTGGAAGGGTGATCTAAGCACAGAGGACAGGCATCCAACTGAACTCAGCACACGTGAACCCGGAGCTGGCACCCGGCAGCTTACTACACCCTCTACATGTTCTTAGAGAGCCACACAAGATGCTCTAGGGAGAGACTGTGTCTTCCCTCTCAACTGGGCTGGCCAAAGGCCCCAGGTTCCAGCTCTCAGGCCATAGCTGCTGAGGTTACTAAGTAAGCCTCCTGGTGGCATGGTTCTGGACTGGACTTGAGGGTAAGAGTCCAGGACCCCAAAGGTTGATGTCAATGATGTCAATTTCCAAGTTCTTGTATGCATTGTTGTTCAGTCCTTAGCTTATCTCACATCCAAGGCATACAAATGGGTTTGCTGAAAAGCAGCATATAGTTACAGATTGACCCTGCACAGAACTGGGGTGATTCATTCTCTCTCTCTCTCTCTCTCTCTCTCTCTCTCTCCCTTCCTCCTTCATTCCCTCCCTCCCTCCTTCCAGCCACCAGAATCATGAGCCAAATAGCCTTCTTATTTATCCCTTGTTGGATCGTGCTTTCAAAGAGCTGCCTTAAGACTGGCCTATTCCCACCCATCCTTCAGAGAAATATGCAGTTGCTTAATGGAAAGAGATGGATCCCAAGGGAGGATAGCACATCTGTCCCATCCCCAACCCCAAATTCCAAACCTCGTGCTG